TATCTCGTTGAGCAGTTTGGATTCCATTGGGTGTGTGTACTCCGGTGGAGGTGGAGTTCTCAAAGTTTCAAAAGGCAATCTGGTTGTGAGGAAAGGAAGCAAGGTGAATCACTTGTATCATTTGCAGGGTAGCACAGTCATGGGTCCTTCAATTGGCACATGCAATTCCGTTTCTGATAATGATAGAACGAAATTGTGGCATATGCGTTTGGGCTACATGAGTGAGTGTGGCATGACATTTTGAGTAAACGTGGTTTACTTTGTGGGGAGCAGATGACCTCGCTAGATTTCTGTGAGCATTGTGTTCTTGGCAAGCAATGCAGAGTCAGATTCAGTACGAGGACGCATTCGACAAAGAGCACACTCGACTATATCCATTCCGATTTATGGGGACCAGCACAGGTTCCATCTAAGGGTGGTGCTCTTTACTTTGTGACGTTCATTGACGATTATTCCAGGAAGGTTTGGGTTTACCTTCTGAAAAGAAAAAGTGATGTGTTTCAAACCTTCAAGAAGTGGAAAGCCCTTGTTGAGAATCAGATAGGGAAGAAGATCAAATGTCTAAGGACCGATAATGGTCTTGAGTTCTGTGGTGGCGATTTTAATGAATTCTGTGCATATATAGGTATCGTTCAACACCGTACAGTTAGGCACACTCCACAGCAGAATGGAGTGGCAGAACGTATGAACAGAACTCTATTGGAGAGAGCAAGATGCATGCTCTCTAATGCTGGCATGGAAAAAGGTTTTTGGGCTAAAGCTGTTAACACGGCTTGTTATCTGGTTAATTGCTCTCCTTCAACAGCAATAGAATGCAAGACTCCTTTTGAGATGTGGTCAGGTAAGCCTTGTGATTATTCTAATCTAAAGGTTTTTGGATGCCTTGCTTATTATCATGTTAAGGATGGTAAGTTAGAACCTAGAGCAAAGAAATGTATTTTTGTTGGGTATGTTGATGGGGTGAAAGGTTATCGTTTATGGTGTCAGGAACCTAACTCACCTAAGTTCATTATTAGTAGGGATGTTACATTTAATGAAATGCATATGCTTGATCAAAGGAAAGTTGTTGATGAGTCTGTAGGAAAACATGAGAGTGATATGAATGAGATGGAGGTTCAGGTGAAGCTTCTAGAAAAGACTTCTCAGAATGATTTGAACGAGCAAATTGCTCCAGTTGATTCAAGTTCAGATGAGGAAGCTGTAGATGAGGTGGAGCAGCCATACTCTATTGCTACTGGCAGAGAAAGTAGGCAGACCCGGCCTCCTCAGAAATATGGGTTCTCTGATCTGGTGGCTTATGCTCTTACGACAGCATAAGATATGGGTATTCAGAAACCTTCTACCTATACGGAAGCTGTTACTTGCACAGAATCAGAAAAATGAGCTGTTGCTATGGTTAAGGAACTTGAATCACTTCACAAGAACCAGACTTGGGACTTGGTGCAGTTGCCTAAGGGAAAAAGAGCCATTGGGTGTAAATGGGTCTTCAAGAAAAAGGAAGGAATTCCAGGTGTTGAAAATGTTAGATGCAAGGCTCGGCTCGTAGCTAAAGGCTACAATCAGAAGGAGGGAATTTATTATGATGAAGTTTTCTCCCCTGTGGTAAAACACACTTCCATTCGTGTGTTGCTGGCTATAATTGCTCAATTTGACTTAGAGCTTGAGCAACTTGATTTGAAGACTGCTTTTTTGCATGGCAAGCTTGAGGAAACTATTTATATGGCTTAGCCCGAGGGCTATTATGTAGAAGGCAATGAGGATTTTGTTTGTAGATTGAAGAAATCTTTGTATGGTTTGGAGCAGTCACCAAGACAGTGGTATAAGAGATTCGACAGCTTTATGATAGGGAGCGGTTATCATAGGAGCAACTATGATAGTTGTGTCTACTTCAGGAAGGGTTCAGATGGATCCTTTGTCTATCTTCTCTTATACGTGGATGACATGCTCATTGCTGCAAATAACATGTTAGATGTGTTGACCTTGAAGAAACGGCTCAGTGAGGAGTTCGAGATAAAAGATCTGGGTCCTGCTAAGAAGATCTTAGGAATGGAGATTCAGAGGGACAGGAAAGGAGGGAAGTTATATCTCTCACAGAGGAGTTATATTGAGAAGGTACTTGAGAGGTTTGGCATGCAAAACGCTAAGCCCGTGAGTACACCGTTGGCATCCCATTTTAAACTCTCAGCTCTGCATTCACCTCAATCAGAGGTCGAGGAGGCTACGATGTCTCGTGTCTCATACTCTAGTGCAGTTGGTAGCATTATGTATACTATGATATGCACTCGTCCCGACATTGCGCAAGCAGTTAGTGTGGTTAGTAGATATATGGCGCATCCTGGAAAGGTCCATTGGCAGGCAGTGAAATGGATACTTAGGTATCTTAGAGGCTCCACAGAGTTGGGCCTAGTGTTTGATAGAAACAGTTCCAACGGTACCTCAGCTGTGGAATTTGTGGATTTTGATTTTGCAGGTGATCTCGATAAGAGGAGATCTTTGACTGGCTATCTTTTCACACTATCTAGTTCGACTATTAGTTGGAAGTCAACCTTACAGTCGACAGTTGCTTTGTCTACTACAGAGGCAGAATATATGGCAGCAGCAGAAGCAGTGAAAGAAGGTATTTGGTTAAGGAATCTTGTTCAGGAACTTGGGCTCCAGCAGGAAGACAATTCAGTTGTCTTTTGTGACAATCAGAGTGCTAAATACTTGATTAGAAATCAAGCATATCTTGAGAGGACTAAGCATATCGATGTCAAGTATCACTTTATTCGAGAGGCAGTTGCTGAGAGAAATATGACGGTAAAGAAAATTGGTACAGCTGACAATTATGTTGATATATTGACCAAGCCAGTCTCCGCCAACAAGTTTAAGCATTGCTTGAACTTGATTGGCATGCTTGGTTGAGTTTGCCCCTTATGGGGCTTCGGTGGCGAGGTAAATGAAAGTTCTACATTTGTGTTTTGAAGTTGATATGTTCTTTCGTTGCAGCCCTTATTTCCTACACCGAGTTAGCTCACGTAGGCTTAAGGATGCCGAGAGAATGTGTTCGGCTTCTTGACTGTTTTGTTTTGGGAAATTCAAGCCAAGGTGGAGATTTGTTAAATATATCTTGAAATTTCTGTACTCGGTTCGGTTCATCACCTGACCCGACATATTTTTTGTATGACTCAAAAGTGGAGAAAAAATTGAGATTTAGTTTGTGACGTGGAGGGTTGGATCGATAGGCTCAACTCGAAGCAAGCGAACAAATCTTTTTGGCGGTTCGCCCAAGCTGGAGCAAGCGAACAAATGTCTTGGGGGGTTCGGGGGCTATGCCCCCGAGAAAATTTTTTGGGGAGCCCTATTTATACTACGGCTAGGTTTTTTTCATTGATTAAGAGAGATTTTCGTTTTGAGAGAGATTTGTGAGCCGTGAGGTTTTGTTAAGTCGTTTTTTCGACTTTTGAAAACTGTACTATTTTTTTATTGTAGTGGAATCTTATTTTGCCTCGCCCGTGGACGTAGATCACCTTGTGATCGAACCACGTAAATCCTTGTGTTCTGTATTTGTTTTTCCGCATTTATTTCGAACATGATGTGACTAAAATTGGTTCATCTCATAGGATTTCCATCCTAATTAAGTCACACTGCTTTCATTGTATAAACCGTTTGTAGTGGACTACTCCATTGCTATTACTAATAAGGTACGATGCTTTAATCAGTGTTTCTAAGCAAGATGGAGGCACTATATACTTTTGAAGATACTGAAAATGAGACTATATCTGTTTCTCACCAGTCGGTTTTATTATCTCAAAGTTTGTCACTGGCAGTCAGAATTTGGTTATTCTGAATAAACCAGAACTACTCTTGCTGAAAGCATTCACTTCAGAATCTCTTATTTGATTATGATGTGCTTTCATGGCCTGAACAGTGTTGAGGATGATGTCTTGTATTATGTTATCCAAGAGATTAGGAGGTGGCTCTGAAAGGTCCCTAACGACTGGACAACACGGGGGTCTTGTTTACCGGTGAGCGGGCGAGGGTCTGGGGGGGCCGCCCTGGCGGGGGTCGCCGCCAGAGGCGTTTTATGTTCAGTCATAGAAGGATTTATATAGGAATGCTAAATATTTTAGGCTATGTGGGCAATTTTGTAATTTGTGCCATGTAGGGTTTAACTATATATATTTAGGGCAAAACGGGTCTCTAGTCTAGAGATAGGGGGTGAGAAAGAGTGGCTGTACACTTTTCTACGTTATCAGTGAAACGGATCTCTTCTTCCCGTGGACGTAGGTAGGCGGAACATCTCCCCTGCTGAACCACGTAAATTCTTGTATTGTGCGAATTCCCATTACTTTTTTGCATCGTTGATAGGATCGAATAAATTCGACAAACAAATGGCAATACTCTGAGGACCTGGGTATCCTCTACAAATGGTGCAATCTTCAACTTATGGAGTCAAGAGTGAGATCCCTGAGTATGGAGAGAACAAAAGGACAAAAATTCGCTTTCTGTGCCACCAGGCTCTAGGTACTTCTTCTCAGATTTAGAATCTGACTTGTGGTACTTTTACTAAATTAATGATGGCATAGCCATGTGCCTCGTTATCTGTTACTTTTGTAAGCAAATTACTAGATAGATTCTAGTAGTTATGATTTGCAGCAAATTCTCATAAACTGTTCATTTGTATGATGCAGTGAGTCTGTCAGATTAGGTGAAGTAAAATTTGAAAGCTTTATGTTTCCATGACTGCAGCTTTGGAACAAAAAGTTGCAAAATGGTAAACGCTCCCTGATAATCTCTTAAGTAGACAACGTGCATAATATTTGAGATGGCTTCAAGGGCATAATCATTTTCGACTTGCAAATCTTTGCCAGGTCATAACGGGGTTGACAAATTGACATGTGTCCATGTACTGTTTGTCAACAAGCCTATGCGCACTATCTTTGTGTGTGTGCGTGTGCCCATGTGCCTGCATGAGAGAGAGAGAGAGAGAGAGAGAGAGAGAGAGAGAGAGAGAGAGAGAGTCATGAGAGTCATGATCTGTTACTCTTGCTGTCAAATGTCATGGCCTTACATTCTCAGTTAACTTCTGCTTAAAAAAAGTCATTGGTCGAGTTCCCCTTTGCAAGAAATAGTTGTAATTGTCTTCTTTTGTCCCTTGTCATCTTCCAAGCTTCATTTGATGAATAATTGGTCCTACACTTTTCATCTTGATCTTCGTCATTTTCGTCGGAGGAGGATCGTCCTTCATATCTGGGCAAAAAGCTGTCTTTTTGTTGGTCCTTCACCTGAATATTCAAATGGGCAAAAAGCTGTCTTTTTGTTTGCATCTCGCTTTTATGATTTGACACAAGTTTTCCTTGGGTCATTCTAAAGGGAGCTCATTTGGTTCATCATTTATCTTACACACTACAATGCTCAGGAATTCAGTTCCTCTGATCTGGCCGACCAATACACACTTCGAGGGGCAATAGCTAGAAAACTTTAGCTGACTTTCACGATACTATCACTTACATCAGGTAGTCCGTTTACGAGGGCACATAACCGAACTAATGACAGCGCTTTGTTGAAATGTTTTGCCTTGGTCCCAAGGTACTCGCTCCAAGTTACTGGCTTGTAAAGTGGAGGATGATTACAGTCTATTAGTTCTGGTAGAGGTGAGACTTGAACCCAACTTGGGGGTCCATATAAATAGGCAACTGATAACCGCTGCTCTGTTCGGTTAACCATTGCTCGATGGAGGACACTTGGGTATAAGCCATTTGATAATATGTGAAAGAGGTCCCCCACATTAACAACAAGTGCACCGGAAAGTGGAGGCACTGTGATCCATCCACTGCCCTCTTTAAGCACTTGCAAGCCACTTGTGTTATTTTGATAAAGAATTGTGAGGAGGGTAGAGTCTGTGTGAGCGGCAAGACCCATTGCCCTGTCTGGGTCCGGGCAAGCAGGGTAAGAATTCAATTGCAAAGCAGCAACTGCCCCTGTGAATTCTCCTTTAGGGCCGCTCCATTTGATGTCTTCCTTTGTCAACCCCAAAGAGCCAAGCATAAGCCACATCAACCTTCCTGCTAGCTGTTTCATCTCTTTCTGGTACTCTTCAATTACATCGCTGCAACAAATAACAGAGAAAATTAAGCACTTAAAAGATAGTAATGGTGCTAGACTAACGAAGGTTAAACAAAGAGTGAATGGAAGTTTGATCTTTAGACACTGTCCCTCAGATTCTTCTTGGTGATTACATTATTTGCTTCCATTGATAATAGTAAGTAGCTTGAAAAAGTAAAATTGTGAGTTATGACATGTGCATGGTCATAATTTAGTACCAGAATACGTTGTAATCTTGAGGCCAAAGTCGGCGAGCATGTTCCATTGGTGACCCCACAATGGTGAATCCCTCAGACCACATTTGCTTAGAGAAAAAGGCAGAAATTCGTGCGACTCCATAACCTGAGATGCCTTCTGGGGAACGAGATGCCTTGAGCTTTTGTGGCACTGGCAGAGAGAAAAGATTCTTGGCAGCACACTCAACATCATGAAGAAGCTCCTCTGGTATGCCATGGTTTATGACTTGATATACGCCCCAACTTCTGCATGCATGGCCTATTAGCTTTAGTGCATTTGGGTCATTGAGATCGATGACCGGCAAAGTCTCTTTGCTAGGACAGTGAGAAGAAGGGTGCTCATCAAGTTCTGTCCATGCATATGAGTCGGGCAATTCTTTCACTGAACTGAAGTCGACTTGTTTATGATGGAGTTCAACAGGATACGCTCTGAAGGCATCTGAAAGTCTGGAAGGCATAGTGGGGAGAGAGAAACAGGGAGAGAGTACTTGCGGAGAAACAGGGTGTGTGTTGGATGTCGGGTTATAGGTTGAGATACAGTTTACAAATGGACAGAGTAAACTGAATGTACTTGTTACTCGTTATGAAATGGTATAGTACTAAGTTTATATAGAGATGATGGAGTTGTGGTTTCTCAGTGCTGAGTGGTGCTGGGGTATGGCATTGATTGGAAGGAGACAACAGATGAAATAACAGAGAGCATTTCACATTGGACAATAGAAAGAACAAAAATAGTGAGGACCGTCTTGTCCTTTACAAACAATATAACGAGGAAAGGAAAGGCATCTTAACTTCACAAGCCACAGAGCTTCAATGGAAGGGAGGGTCCCTCTCTCTCTCTCTCTCTCTCTCTCTCTCTCTCTCTCTCTCTCTCTCTCTCTCTCTCCATGTGCATCTGTTTTGTCCTCAAGTAGGAACACATGCATATCAATATCCACCCCCATTTTGGTCGTAATCAACCTTTTTCAAAGTACAATTCCCTCTATCACCTGGATATTTCTTCAAATTGCCCTTCCACTTGCCCTGTTGAAATTTTGTGAAACTGGCTTTGAGGTTTAGAGAGATTCTTGTTTTCAACTTGACCTGTTTAAACTGAATAAGTTCCTTCACGGAGGTGCACAAAATTCACTTGCAGCTTATTTTTGGTACTGCTAAGTCTCTATGAGTATGACAAGGACATGGTAACTCGGTCTTTGATTAGTTGTTCTCAACTTGTTCTTGTCTAGAGATCAGAAGATTCGTATGGAAGGGCATTCTGGTCTGTCCACCAGTGAGTGCTCCTTTTTATATCTTCACGTATATTCGATCATATTCCATGAAAAGTAATAAAGCCTCAGTGCACTCTGAGATTACATTTGGGTTTGTTTGTCCTAGATGTTCCAAGTGGGCTACCAAACTCCCTTCAAATCCACAAACATATTTGGTCGTCCCCAGACATTACATAAATGGGTTTCTCCCTTTTCTGTTAAAAATCATTCGACTGTTGCTTGTGGATTCTCCATTTTGCTCATGGACAAGGTTGGAATCTTGCCCTTCGTGGAAGTATATGATGAAACTGTAGCTGATTATTTCTATGAAAAATACAAGTGTTTATTGGCTTTGGTTAGTAATTTTCTTGAAATGTTAGAGCAGCATAGATGTCAAATCTTCATTGATCCATGCACAAGGAGGAAGTAAAGATTTTCGTTTAGTCAGTTTCTCTTTTTTTGGCCTTCTCTTTATATTCTATAAGGTTGGCATCCAATGACAGAACAGAAACAACACAATCATGTCAAGATCATCATCATGCGAAACTGATTGCAGGATTCATGTGATGAGCCTCACACAAGGGACGAATGCGAAATGTGCTATTACACATGCACAATAGTCCTGCAAGAGTACAGTTCAGAGGAGACACAACGAATTTCACACTATGGCTGTGGTAAACTCCGCCAGTTTCGTGGAAATTGAAAGTTTAAAATTCAATATTCTTTCTCGCTCTTTGCAAGGATGAAAGATTGGATGATTGGCTAGATTTGCAATTTGATCATTCATCAGTGCTGGAAAAACTCGGTGATCGGTTCTGTTTAGGTCTGTCTATAGTCAGAGTGGCGAAAAGAATGTGATATCTGCCTCCAGTCACAAAGCACCATTTATGCTGTTTCAAGTGATATGTTTTGACAAATTTCTGCTACTTAAGTAGGGTCCAAAGAGGGTTTTCCATTATATAAATTGTCTTAAACTGTGATTGAAGGGAATATGAAAGTTTGAAACGCATGGAACGCTGTGTCGCACATGACTTTTGGGAGAAGTACCAAAAAAGTCATAAACATTTTACATTTGTGTCAATTCAATTATAAACTCTTTAATTGTGCTGATAATTCCAAACCTTTTCACATTTTGTCAAATAAAGCCATCCGATTAATTTAGGTTGGAAATCGCTGACGTTGACATTTTTTAAATTTTTTAATAATTTTTTTGATTTTTTCCTTTTTTCTTTCTTTTTCTTTCCCTTCTCTTTTCTATCGGTGGCCGATTGCCGACCACAGGCTATGTCTGGCGAAGGCTGGCCTCCCCAGAGCGAGGTTCACCCTTGCCGCCACAGGCGAGGGTAGACGTCACTGAGCCCAGCTTGGGCAAGGGGGGCCCTTGTCGGCGCTCGCCCTTTCCGGTCATGGCTTGTGGTCGGCGGCCGTCGACTAGCCATGGCTTGTGGCTGGTGTCGGTGATCGGCCCTTGGCAAAAGGAAAAGAAAACGAAAGGAAGAAAAAAGAAAAATTATTAAAAATAAAAAAAAATTATTAAAAAATGTTTACACTAGTGCCAACCATGCCAACTAGGATTGCTAGCAACTTTTGGCCTAAATTCACCAAATATACTCAATTGGCAAAATATGAAAATATTTAAGATTAAATTGGCACAATTAAAAAGTTTAAGACTAAATGGGCACAATGGGTACTTTTCCCCGTGACTTTTGCTTTGAGTTTAATTGAGGATACTCCAGCATCACTCAAAGGTCAGTTTTCTCATGTAACCACCGTTATTTTACATGTTAATTAACAGTAAAACCATGCATTATTGCTTGATTCCCCAAGAAAGTCACGAACTGACAAATTTGCCAGGATAGATCTAAGAGATTCTGATATTTACACTTACATTAGAGCTCTAATTATATGTTTCTAACTATATGTTGATGGCGACGTCATTTACCAACATAGTGTTTGAGATTAAAATCTCCGTTGAATTGATCATTCCTTCCAAAGGTGGTAGGCTATCACACGAAAAGATCTCTTGTCACGATAGGTTAAAGCCTATAAGGAAGCAAAGAAACTTGTCTACTTCCTAATGAAAGTGAAGTTCAAACTGATTTACGTTTGAGGAGAAAGTATGCAGCACTTACCAATGTGGGTCTAAGGAAGCACCTTTTGATTAAGTGGGGGTTAATTAATGACAAGCTAAGACCTCAAATTTGGACCAACAGAATGGTACCAAAGATGCTGCGCCATGTGAAAGAGCAGAAACTTTGCAAGACCATAAGGACAGGCATAGTGAAATACCATGATGATGTCCACGCATATTATGCTTGGTTTTTGTCATGATGCTCTTTTGAAGGCCATTGGACTCGTTAATCTCAACCCCTCAAGAAAGTAAGTTGCGCCAAAAAGGTGGAGTGACTAGGTCACCACAAAACAAGACTTTTTTTCCTTTCTTTGTGCCAATCTGGGTCTAACAGGATTTTACAACTAAACCGAGAGACAGATCTTCACAATTTCAATTTCTTGCCCAGTAAGGAGCTTAATGAAAGTTTCAATCAGAAGTGGCACTAAAAAGTAGATGATGACCTAGTTCTACATAGTTTGCGGCACCTTTGCAAGGGAAAATAATTTAAAAAAGAATTAGTTCGATTCATTTTTTTTCTTGTTAAAGTATCACACATAGCTTGTTTACGTGGTTTATATGTTATTTATGTACATGCGGTCTCCCTCTGCTTGTTTAAGATTTTGTGTTCGACTATCTGACATGTCAATGCTTTTTTTTTGTTGGATTTCTTGACGATAATCACATGTTTGCATATGAATGTTGTCATCTTGTTAGGTTGCAGGAACCATAAATGAAAAAAAAAAATAGAGGAACTTATGTGGTTTGAGATTATATTGCTCCACTTAGAGAGAGAGAGAGAGAGAGAGAGAGAGAGAGAGAGAGAGAGAGAGAGAGAGAGAGAGAGAGAGAGGTTGTTTCATGTCACTCAAGCAGATCATGCTCCATTTTTTTAGGACACACAAGCTGAGATGAAAGCTAAATATATCCACATGATGACAAAATCCAAACTTGCCTGCCCCTCTCGTATCCTCTTCAAGTCCTTCCTTTTGGCAATTCGCAATGTTCAATTTCGAAATCATTCTCCTTCAAAAGTCAAAAACCTATTTGCTTGAATATGTCAAATCAGAGGACTGACAAAACATGGTGGAAAGAATCCATAGTACTGTGAGGTGCAAACAGAGCAAAGCGATTGAGAAGACACTAATGTCTATTTCCCTCGCCAATTAGATGTGCGTTATCGATTCTACCAATGCTCTGTAGACAAAGCTACTTGCACTCAGTTCAAGTGTGGATGTGGTCAATCTGTTTCTTTCTCATGCACAATGATTCTGATATTGCCACCCAAGACTTTTGAGTGATTTAATGAAGAGAGCAACGAGATGTTTGTGTCATGTAGTACCGTAATAATAGAGTCCCAATGATTTTGATATCAATTTATATTTCGATTTTCTCAAAAAATTACATTTTACATTTTGACATTCATGATAATGACATGTATGGACACATATGTTTCTATTAGCAAGCAGGATAAGAACCAAATGATAAAATAAAAAGAAATACAGATTTACCAATATAGTGTCATCACACTCTTTCATACTTGCATAATTGATCAACTATGACTTGGCGTTTTGATGCCGTTACTAAATTAATAATTCCAAAAAAGGATAATGACATAAATGGTCCTTCAACTTTGGACGAATGTATAATGTGGTCCTTGAACTTTTGATTTATTCAATGTGGTCCATGAACTTTACCCCAATATGCGATGTGATCTATGAACTTTTAATGAGTTCAATATGGTCCCCTCAACTTTTGGTACATGTTCAATTTATTCCCTAAACTATATAGAAATATTCAATGTTGTCCTGCATTGAACAAATTGAACATGTACCATTGAATAATTTAAAATTTCGGGGATGACAGTGCATATTAAAATAAAGTTCATGAACCATACTGAACAAATTAAAAATTTAGGGATCACATTACATATTGAAACAAAGTTCAAGACCATTTGTGTCATTATCCCTTCCAAAAGTTATGGTGAGAAATAGGGAAATGAGCATAGTCTAAACTATGAGGATACCCATGTCCTCTCTATTTCATTCCTTTTCATTTCAATTTCTCAATACGTTAGTAGATGAGAGCGGATCAGAATTGGATGGCATGATAGATCGTTTGTCGTTTCTCCATCCAATACCAGACCAATCACATTAGCCACAGGTTGGCAATATTTCCTGCAGGGATTATGAATTTTAGTATAGTTTTTGGGACAAGATATGCGAGAATTATTGATACTTTGGCCAATATACTAATGTATGTCCAACTAAGATCCGGACAAACAGCTGAGTTGGCAAGCCAAGATGTCCATGTCTATGTGCATAGATAATGTATATCCCGGCCATAGTTTATTTTGTTTCAACACATGCATGAAGGCATGATGTTTTCTTTGGGGTTCCCCACATAAAATCAATGATTATTCGCTTGAAACCCTAGAATGTAATAATTTGAAAAGATGGGTTTTTATAATGGGGGATACTAGTGGACAGAAGGCTGGCCGATTCCTATGCTTGGATCCATTCTTAGTTTGTTTGCTCTTCTAACATATGTTCGGACGTTCTCCTGGTACTCGATGGGGAGACTTCTCATTAAGTATTCCTTAATCGTGGTTGCATGCGCCATGCAGATTTGATTAATCTGTGATGTTAACTCTCTCTCTGTCTCTGTCTCTCTCTAATATAACTTAATCATTTGTGCAGTTGCAGATCTGTTTTTTCTTTTGTTTTCTGGATAAAGACATTCTTGTTTAATATGCTTAGGCTTAGAAACCATCCAAACCAGTGACAGGTTGCACAACTAAGCTCCAACATCCTTGACGACCGTGATTGGAACTCGGATGTTGTATGCATTGAAAGTACATCGTCACCCTTAATTTTCAATGTAAGCAATCTTTTGGTTGTTTCCACCACCATTGCATTGTTCTGCAAATTCAAAGCGGAAGAGAACAAAAACAGTGAGGAAGTAGTTTGAAAAAAGAGTCATTATTAGCATCGAGAAAAACAAAGAAGATTCTTCACATAACTCCAAAGAGGTCAGCCATATCCGTATTTAAATTACAACATCTCTCATTCAGAATAACTAATTACTTTGGGAGATGTGCCGACCACTCTGATGCAGCATGCTTACTCAATGCATCTGGATGTGCGGTTTTCTGACATTTGGGATTAGCCTATCCGTATGATTGGTAATCCAGTGATATATGTTTTAAAGTATCATGCATAAAAAAAGAAAAAGAACAATTCAACCTAGTGAACGTAAAGATCTTCAGATTCTTATTAGACATAGTTATGGGCACATTCATCCATGATTTGATATATGGAAGCTTGAGCTATGTTGCTCCGAATATCACGTGAGCATCGCATGCATATATCCGTCTCCATACAATCCTTATTCCTCGACTTATCTTAACAATCTATTTTTAATTAAAAAGTGATCAGTTCCTGCTTCAAGAAATTATAATCCATCGATTGTTCGCATGGCATGCTATGCATTTTAATTAGTTGGTGTTTAGTCTCCTCCAATTGTATGAATGTTTAACGTTGTACTGGAAAACACATGGAATCATCGACAATTATTTCCAAATCATCATCTTTGAGTTCTAACCAAAGCAAATCAGAGGAGTAAATTAACCAAATTAGGTTGGAAAAAAAAAAGGGCTCGTAAAAGATTAAAAAAATAAGTCGAGTTTTGCCTTGAGGAGTACGTAATCGGATAAGCTAAAATGGGCGAACCTGAAAAAATTCAACATCAATTCATATAGGACAGCAGAAGAAACAAAGCCGGAGGCAATCAAATTAGAGCATCTTAGAATCTCAGCTTTCATGACCTCCATCTTTGACATCTTTGGTGCTCACATCGGTTCTTGTCGCGTTAACACCCACAGCATGGTCATTACCATTATCCGGTATATAATTGCGATGATTTAACAGTTATTCGTGAGTAAAATTGCAATTAACATTCAGTATCGGTAGAGTTAATGTGAGTGCACGTGAAGAAAAATTTGCATAAACAGTCTATTGATTATCTTATTTCGTTTAGACCTTTGGGGATTTCCTACAAGTGCTGAGATCGCTGTATTATGAACAACTTGATGGAGGACCAGAGCTACCCCTGTATGTATCCCTCTATTTTCCCCTTCTCCTTTCTAACCTTCCTCGCCAATCTCACTCAGTTTTTTCAGTATTGCTCTCTCTGAAATTTCTAATCTCTGTCTGTTCTCGACCGCTCGTCGAAATTCTTTTGCTTTTTTGGGATTAAAGAACTTCGGCATTGAAGCTACTCCATGTGGCGTGGACGTGTTCTCTCCTCCATCTACGTTTTTTCGTCTGGAGGCGTGATATCCTGAAGCACTCCCAGCTAAACGAGATGGGTTACGGGAAATAGTCACAAGAAAGTATACAATCAAGGAATGAACCAATGTAAAATTGATAAATGTTCTGAAGAACTGTCATGGTACAAATACATAACTGGTTACAAATCGAATGCACGTCACACTGTACGTGATGAGGTTTTTGACTCAATATATGACAAATTCGGTTGACAGGGGAAGAACTGTTACCATGAACACCAAGAGATCAAGATTTCTTTGAGAAGCAGTGACATTCTTTATGCTGATCCAAACTCTGCAAACCACTTTTCGTGCTTCTCAATATCAGCTGCAGAAACACTCCGCTGTACCTTCACCAAGGCTTCGTCGAAGTCACACATCGCGACAGGGTCCTTCGAGATCTCATCCTTGGACATATTCTTAATTTCGTCCCGAGTCTTTCCAGCTATCTTACGCCTCATTCCATTCATGGAAGCATCCCGGCAAACGTTCGTAAGATCATCCCCACTGTATCCTTCAGTCCGTCGAGCTACATCGTCAATGTTTACATCAGCAGCCACCTGATAAAGAACCATGAAGCACACTTTCAAAGTGATTTTGAGCTAATATAGGCAAAAACCTAGATGGTTCCTTACAAAATTCATCACACAAATGGCTTCGAGTAACAACTAACAGTACATGGTTGCGCTTAAACACTCCTGCATGACTCAAATAATTCTCTTTACATTCACTCTTAAAATGTGAAAAATAAGACACATAATGCATAACACTCCACAGCATCACTCCTCATATGAAATGGTCTCAAGCAATATCATACATCAGTGTGAAGAAAGATCAATCGAGTGTTTGACAAGTTAGTAATATGGCAGTGATTGAGTAGCTTACCTCAACGGTCTTCAAGTTGATACGGATAAGTTCCTTACGACTTTCAAAGTTTGGGAGGGGAATATATATTCTCTTTTCAAGCCTCCTCCTGCACATCATTGGGAAGAAGCAACAAATGCATGATAAGGAATCTTGAACAGCAAGCATTTATGGAAATGGATTTTGTAAGTAAAAACAAAGTTCAAAATGCCAACACAGGTTAAAAATTATTGAAAAACATGATCAACCTGAGTGCCTCATCTATATCCCACGGGAAATTAGTTGCAGCTAAAACCATCACTATCTTGCGAGTACCATCTTCATTTGTCGAACTATTGTTAACACCATCTATTTGAACAAGAAGTTCGGATTTGACCCTCCTGGATGATTCATGCTCCCCTGAAGCCCTGAAGAGAGGCACCTTTGAAAGTCAGATACAAGTAAATGCCACGGAAGATCCAAGGGATTTATTCCTTTTTCTGACATTAGGCTAAGAATCATATCTCACTCCGAGTATCAAACTCACCCCCGAGCGTTGCAGAGAGAATCGATCTCATCAATGAAAATGGTACTTGGAGCATAGGCTCTAGCAAGATCAAACAAGCACCGCACCATGCGCTCACTCTCCCCACGCCATTTAGAAGCCAAAGTAGCAGATGAAACATTGAAAAATGTAGTACCACATTCAGTAGCTACAGCTTTTGCAAGAAGGGTCTTCCCAGTTCCGGGAGGGCCAAACATTAGAACACCTTTCCAAGGCCTCCTGATTCCCTGTGAATGAAAGCATCGTAAGCATAGAGCAAATAATTTCCAACTTTTTAGACAACGATAGCAGGAACTACTCCAGCTTGATTACCCATTTCCCACCCAACAGACTCCCCCAGGCACCCATCACCTTCGGTACCACAGTTTTGGGCTCCTCAATCTTTGGTAATCGACGCTATCAAGTACTTCTATAATGGCCAGTGGCCATTCTACTGCTTACTCTCTCCTTAATTTATAAACTAATTTTTTCTTAAAGCAATAAAAGCGTATTTCAAATTCACACTCTTCAAAAGATAATTTTACAAAACTTGGAGATAAAAATAACTATTAGCATCATCAATAAGTAATTGCATTTAGATCCTACCCAAAGCAAAGTAGCACATAAATTGCACTTCTACAGCTCAAGTAGTACCTGAAAATATTCGGGCATCCACAAAGGAAGCACAACAGCTTCCTCTAAAAGTCTCTTTGCTTCGCTCAGTCCAGCGACATCATCCCATCTTACTCCAGGGGTAGTCTCTAAGACATCCCTCTCAAGCATTGCAGCCAAGTCCTGATCAGGTCCCTCATACTGTCCCTTCTTTGACTTTCCATCTTCAGCATCACCATTCTAAAAGTTGCAAACATAAATTTGTCAGCGCAATGAAAACATCTTAAATCAAACTCGAAGCAAACAGAGTACATCACATTTCATTTGTGAAATAATGTAAATACCTAATCTATAGAAGCTGAGAATAGTAAAAGGATAAGAATACAGTTTGCATATAACACAAACCAAACATTGATCAACTTTACAGCAGATATGTAACACTAAGTTTCTCTAGTGACTTGTAACTCATAGCTGCTAAGAAATTCAAATTAATAGGAGAATCCTCTCCAGAAAATTAATGGAAGAATGGAGTGAACTAAGCTACGGCAATTCTTAAGCAAGAAAGGTGAAACTACTAAAAGCATATGGGATATGAACGAAGCATGCCCAAACCTACACAGTCGTAACAGACATCAAATTCCCCATAGATATCACTATACTGCCAAGTACATAGGGTTCCCTTTGCTTTTACATTGTTTTGAAAGTTTTGTAAGAGAAAATTACCCCAGAATCAGCTTTGGCAGATTTGCCAGAACCAGTGCCTTTCTTTCCAATAGAAGATGCTCGGACACCGGTATTACTCTTGCTCGAACCACCAGCCTTTGCACCACGTGCAGCGGCACCTGCCCTAGCAGTAGCACCACGAGCCCATGTCCCATCCTGTGGTGACTTCCTCATGCCCACTTGACCAGCCCTCGCAGGCCTTCTACCAGTAGGATCCCTACTCGGCGGCCTCCACACATCGGGATCATCCATGGCGGGAGCTCCAGAGGAAGTTGGGTATTCATCCAGCGGTTGGAAAACAAAGGAGGACTTGGCATGGATAGGAGGCGAAGAAGGGCGTCGACCACTGGGAGTTTCTTTGAACGCCCTCCGCTCGGCATCTAGTTGTTTGACGACTTCCGCTTCCTCGGACAAGGCTTTCTTCACGTTCATCCATTTGGCCCGAATCAAGGGATCATCAACCGTATTCAAGTGCCTAAAATTACACACACATTAGAAATTGGAGCAAAAAAAAGGGACGCACGCATGCACTTTTAGACACCAATTTCCGGACGAATCCTATCATAAGGACCTTATTCCTACATATCCTCCGCATTTCATAATATGACACACCCCATGAATTTCAAGATGTTAAATTGAATCCAAAGCTCAATTCTTTCTACGCAGAAATCATCGAAAACTGAAGCAATTGGATTAAAAATCCGAGCTTCGCTCGAAAGAAGCATCCATCCACAGCCTACACCCAAAACCTCGAGAAAAATCACTACTCGCCCGACAAGCAGCGATTGACTAGCTACAAGTCATCATCTCCCCCCCGCAAGTTGCTCGAGCATCCACAGATTCAGGAGCTACAAACTACGCATCGAATGGCAAACAAAGAGGATCCCCAGATTCGAAGTACCCTTCACTTCGAATGACGGAATCAATCGAGCTTAGCCGAGCAGAAATGGGGGGGAAGGGGAGGGAAAGAGGGAGTACTTGTTGATCTGGGCAATGGCGCCGTCGAAGAAGATGATGGAGGTGTCGTAGAGACCCTCTAGGGCATACTCCCTCGCCAATTTCAAGTGATCCTGCAATCCGGCCACATTGCTTCCCACCATCCTCTCCTCTCTCTCTCTCTCTCTCTCTCTCTCTCTCTCTCTCTCTCTCTCTCTCTTCAACGCAATCTCTGCAGCTCCAGTACTCGATCAGATTCACATCAATCTCTCTCTCTGTCTCTAACCGGAGCTTCCGAGCTTTCTCTCTCTAGAACCAGTCGCGGCGGAGCAGGAAGGAGCGAGCCCGACGGCGACGTTTCAACGGTAAGGAACCGAGGGGGAGGGAGAAGGCGCGTGGATTGACTCGTTTGCCCTCGCCACTTTGAGCTATTTACCATCTGCAGTGGCTGTCGGTTTTTTTGAAATTGCAGTTGGGCCCTTGCGAGGCCTTTTATCGTTTCGCAACAAAGGGAAAAGGGGATTCTCGACCGTTGGATCTGTAGGGCCTCCAACGGTCTCTGCCGTTCGCCTTTCGGAACTGCTGAAGGCCCAGATCCATGTTTGAAAATTGAAAATCCGACGGACCACCTCTCTTTTATAATTTAGATGAAAAAGCATATAAGCCTCTCATCACCATGTTTGATAAAATAAAAAATATAAAAAATAAAGGAAGATAAGATTTGATAGTGAATCTTTCCTATCACCATGTTTGATGGGCTTGGGGCCGGGTTCCTGGGCTCGGCCTCGATGGGCCCGGGCACGAGCACCGGGGACCCCTGCATGGGCACCTGGGCCTCTGTCTCGATGGGCCTGTGGACGAGCGTTAGGGTTCCCATGTTCAAGCGCGGAATTTCCGGTCCAAGCGTCATGTCTAATTATATATTTTGAAAATGATTTCTGTTTTTTTAAAATTTGAAGGGGAAATCATTTTTCTGAATTTAAGTATAAGTTTTCTGTTGATTAAGAAAACGTTTTCCAATATTCATTTTCCTAAGCAAACCAAACGCCAACAAATGATAAAAATGTTTCCCATGAAACAAACGAAACCTATGTGCTCATTCAGTTTCATTCCTTACCACTTCGGTATCTTTATGTCAATAAAGTTAACTTTGTCGGCATCTAAGGAATATGTGGTTGTCTCTATTTTTCTTTTGAGTCTCACAATTTATACGTTGCACGGCACTAGTAAAAGAGAAGTTCTCTACATGCGACCTCACTTTTGACACCTTCAACCTTTATTCCATATACACATTTTCGCCGACCGATTAGGATTCTCTCATTTATGGAAATATGCATCGACAATGTTTTATCTTCACGATCGACATTGCTTTATCTATCGGCATTGTCTTTGTCATCGCACCCCGCAAATGGAGAGAAGGGATAGCCTGGACGGCATTCCTAATCTCTAATTTAGGAAAATTTCCTTTTCGAGGGGGTCGCCATCATAGCATTTAACAGGTGAACAGAGTTGCCCCTTCAACTCGTCCACTTGATCCATTCTACCAAAGTTGAATTTCATCCATACCAAACCTAAAACATGGGGTGTACAAATCATATTCTTCCACTTGGGGAAGTGCTCCCACAGTTTTAGAACGCAAAGGCGATGTTATCTTCGATCTACAGCTCTACATTAATTAGCAGTTCGTGAGCGTAGTCTTTATGATGTATTCTGATGAAACGAACGTGCTACAAGCTCCAATTCAAAACCCTAAATTATCAAATTAATGAGGCTATATGTACGTTCGTAGTAAAAAAAAAGCAGCTGATCGGAGATGATAAATGATAGAGAGATCGAAACCCTCTTATTTTCTGTGTATTTTCGTGTCATCGAAACCCTCCAAATACAAAAACTGTGGCATAATCCTAAACCTAGGAGCTGAGATCTAAAACCCTTTGTACATCAAACATATAATCCCAGAATGCTCTCTCTCTCTCTCTTGGGAAGCTTGCTGTTCTTTTTTCAACTTGAACTTGTGCACAAAGACTGTGTCCTTGGACCTGCAATTTACACAAGCCACAGTCACTAATAAGAAATCTAATTCTAAAGCGAATAAGTAAGACGAGTCCATGCATCTTTTCTTTGATATCTTTGTTTAGCCGTCGGTTTGGTCAAAAGGAAGAAGCATGGATTACCTAAACCGGTGGCTTCGGAGCTCTTCATGAACCGCAGTCGCTTGCAAGATTCGACAAACATTCTGATACAGAAGAAAAACCGAGAACAACGACTCAACACACGATATCTCAAAGAAGCAAGAAAAAAGAAAGAAAAACCCAGAAAATTAATGGAAACTCACTTCCAAGGCACGTCCCCAACCAGCATCCAGTCACCATCTTTGTCCTCATAAGTAGGCAGATATTCAACACCGTTTGCTGGGTCAGTGATCTTCCTCTCGCTTGCATAATTGCCTGCAATAGTTTCCCAAGAACCCCCCATAAGAACTCATTTTTATATACAATTACTAAATTATATCAATCTACTTTTTCATTATTGCACTAAAATAACTCACAGATGGAGAAGCAAGAGAAGAGCTTCTCAAGAGCAGCCAAAAGCTGCTGGTAACTGTCGTACGCCTCCAGATCCACTTTTCTCAAATACGGGGCTCCATCCACGGCCACCTTCACATACTTGCAACTCTTCATCACGCTCTTCCTGAATGCTTTCACCGGCGGCCACCCCACAGCTTGCGTCCTATACATGTCAAAAACAATATACAGTCCTTATAAATCTTTTGTTGTGCAGTCCATCTTCACGAAACTATATTGCAGTAATTTAAATATCGAGATTCGACGTGTTCGTGTCCTATCGAGCTCGTGCTCGCACATTATTGTTTTTTTCCTATCATTTTGATACTTGGATCGCGTCACTGTTGTGCTGAATCGCAATCTATATGTGAATGGTGTTTTCTTTTCTCCGTGACTGATGTAAAACAAAGGAGAATTTAATACTAAACATTAGTGTTCAAGACAAGGGGTCTGGATCAAACATCTTACTTGGCTGCGGGAGGTTTAGCTGCACCGCCGGAAACTCCATCCTTCATCTGTACACCGCCCACGGAAGAATTCTTGGCTTCGTTGAGACCGACGGCTGGTGCACCGAGATCGAGATCGACGGTCTCGGAAAACCCCCGCTTCGCGCCCGATTTCCCCCTGGCCTCGCCCGGCAGCCCCAGTCGGAGCTCGGTGATCTCCTCCAAGCTCACTTCCGGATTATCGCCGACTTCCGGCGACTTCTCCAACGCCATCTTCTCCTCTCTTCGATCTCACAGGTTACGCTCGAAATGAAATCTCTTCTTGCTGAGTCGCCTTTAGACGGCAACAGAAACTTGACCAACGCGTCTAGCCTACAATGTGAACCCTATCATTCATCCCGTTGTCTAGTATTATATCATTCGGGGAACTCGTGTGACCGGCAAAATGATGGAACCATTCCCATCTGGACACGTGTGCGCCGAGGAGCGGCTGTGATTCGTCCATGTAGGCGACAGGACAACGTGTGACTGGCAAAGCGTGTGACTATGATGTGAGTGGTATAAAAGTTAGGGCCCTTGTTTGGTCGGGCCGTTCGACCGGGTCGCTTTCGATGGGTTCTCATGTCTAATCACATTTGGCTTTGCTTAAGGGTAGTCTTTAGTGATTTTTGGTAGTTGAACCAACTTTAATGCTTTGATCTGAGGGGACTGACGGCAATGGCATCGAGTGCTTCATTCGTTCATCTCTCAAAACCAATGGGCAATATGTTAGCCTTTGTTTTGGGCATTGATTCAATGCACATAATCATCTAAATCTTCCGTGACGAGACTTAAAACTAACCAGTGAAGCCGATATTTCGACACGGTACATGTGATGGCTGATGGGTATGTACATAAATTCTATTTTTAATCACCCGAAAAAATAAGTTATACACATCATACATACAATTCGTGTTAATGGCTGCGCACTCAATATATATTGATACAGATTTCAATGTATCGATAACAAAAAAGACAAATAAAGTAGGTGCATTGAAAATTGCAAAGTTTGTTTAATTTGGTCGTTTTGTTAATAAAAACCTAGATATATTGTACCACGTATTTGCACGTCAATATGTGAGGGCTGCACGCATATTTTTGTTACCCACATCCGCGTTAGTATTTTCCATGGTAATACCTCCTTGGTCTAATGAATGTTTTCCTTAGAAATGCCAACATGAAGCGGCCTATTAATTACTCATGAGCACAAAAACCAACGTGGCTCTACGAACCTTCGTTGGCCTCCTTCACATGAATTGTCTGCCTATTTTTTGGCCTAAAGACATTATCATCACATGAATTGTTGCTTTCTTTCCCTGAAACGTGCAATTAGACATGTTGGAGGGCAACTTTTTGAAATTCGTGATGTTTACACCAAATCTATGATGGGTTGGTGGCATTTTTCCTAGCTTTCTATCCCTTCTCATCCTTGGTGAAAATTGAACATGCTTCACGAAAATGGGGCTCATAATTGTCTTCTAACTTTCTGAAGTCTCCAAACAACCTGTCTTTCTAGCTTTCTAAAGGCACCAAACAATCTTTGAAAAACAATCGGTATGCACATATATATCTGGAAAATAGATATTAATTTATTTCTCAAAAGAAATTACCAGGGCAATCAGCCGAAAAAAATTGAGTTTATGAAGACCTTTTCCATATTTTTAAACACTTTGCAACCATGATGTTCTCAAATTAGTGTATTGGAGACAATAAATGATGCAACCAATAAAGTCAAAAATAGTATAATGTCTGAAAGTCTTTCAAGTGTGTTGAATAACTTTTGGCTTCATAGGACCTACGATTAATTAAATAAATACTTTTATTCGCGTAAGTAAGTATGGACATACATACTATTTTCAACGCGTGATCGACATAGTCAATATATGAAATTATTAAATCTCATAAGCACCTCACTTAGAAAATCGATTTAAAAAAGTCTTGGCTATAATCGTTATCAAATAGCTTAACTAAGTCTAGCTTTTAAATGTAGATATTATCAAGTAAATTTAACTGCTCAACATATTAATAATAGTAGTAGTAGCAATAGAAGTAATGATAAAGATAAAGATAATGATCATGATAATGATGATAATAGTAGTTATAATTGTAATTATGGTTAAAAAAAAAGTAGTTATTCAGTGCGTTTTCTTAAAAAGTTCTCAAAGCATAATTTTTACAGAGCCAACGCAAAAGCATTCGATTAGGTTCGTTGAGGTGTTTTTGGGCAGCTCATTCAAATTGTTGTTCCATTATATTCAAGGATATATATTACATAATCTAGAATTGTGACTATACTTAGACTAAATCCAATGCACTTACTTGATCATTTATTATCCCTAAAATTAAAAATGTAGAAATAGGTGTGTACTAAGTACTGTTTCTTAAAAGGAATACGGTTTAATGGCGCTTTCAGTAGTAAATGCTGAAAATCCGATTTTGATCTACCCATCTTACCAAGTCATTCTCAACATTGGCTGCCACTCCTTTTTCTCCAATATATTATTAGTAAATTATTCAAAATAAAAAACTTGACAAAAACAAGTAAATTATTTCAAAAAGAGATAAGAAAAATGACTAGAATTATGATCGATGAACAAATAAGTCTTAGGTATCATGTGTCATGTCTTTACAGAAATAAATGTATATATAAATATGGCGTATGAAAACACAATTTTTAAATCGAGTTGTGGCATAACGTAAATTAAGTTTACGAATAAAACTTCAAAGTTTCATGAAATAAAGTTTATATAAACTAATTATGGAATGACGTGACGAGTGAACACAATCTATTTTTCGTAGCTAGGTCTTATAGAGAAAGTGCTCCAGATTCCCCTACCGACCCAATATGGGTGGTATTCTTAATCCGATACACTCATTTTCGTCTCTGATTTCTAGACGTCTGTGCTCTCATCCTCCTTTTACATTGCTTCTGCATCAATTCGTCGTCAGCTCCTATTCCGTTTAACTTGATTTTATGATCGAATTTCTCACGAAGCAGCAATACTTTATTGTTTGCGATTCAATTATAGCGATCGAAGAAATAGTTAGGTGCCGTTCGTGATGGGTTCTCGTCTCAGTCAATCACTGCTCGGAAATATCATAATTACGAAAGAATTTTTTTTTTTAAAAGATCATTATATATATTTAACAATGAAACGAAGTAACTTTTTTATTTATTTTATTTATTTCCGAATGCAAAGCGCCTTGGCTTTTTCTTTTTCAGTAAAAAAATTAGAAAAAGGAAGAGGCGGGGCCCACGTGTTTGGGTTCTTGTGGCGCAAGTCAACTTCATCTGCAAGGGGGGAAAAAGAAGGAAAGGGAGGGGGGGGGGGGCGGGTCGGTCCCACCGCAGCGGCCATGTGATCGTGTCGGCTTGTCGACCCAGATGTCGCTGTCCATCACCGGCGCGTGGCGGGTTTGACCCCCCCGTCCCGCACGCGGCTTTGGATCGTGCGCCTCACCGGGCTAGCCGGTTGTCCCCCTCCCCCCCCCCGGAGCCCCGGTGCCCCGGGTCTCTCCTCTTCCCTCGCACGAGCTGCTCCTCAATAATTTTTTTTTTTAAAAAGAACAAATTTTAACAAATTACATATACAAGACGTGTTTAAAATTAGGTTTAACACATCAAAAACCTCGAACTGGTGCGCCGAACTAATTATTTGATCATCAAAAGCTCCAAACTGATACATATGTAACAAATTTATCATCCGTAAGTTTCCGTTTAATTTTATTATCAAATTGCTGAATTGGATGACACGTGGCAGTTGACGGGTGGACCAGTTTGGGGTTTTACCCCTCTTTTTATCACAAGTGTGCCGGTTTGTAGTTTTTCGTGCTATTAATCCAATTTAACGGAAACCAATGGAGGGTAAATCTATTACAAGTGTACCAATTTGGGGTTTTTAATGGTCAAAATATTATTTTTGAGTAAATTTGTGACAAGTGTACCGATTTGGGATTTTTTATGGTCAAAAAATTAGTTTTTGGTATATTTATCATATGTGTACTGATTTTGGGTTTTTCGTGATATCGACCCTTAAATTTACATGCCAATATACATTTTGTGGGAATTTTTAAATGTTATGGGATTTTAAAGACGATGTCCGAGCCGCGATATTTTAATTAAGTAAGAAGTGAAACTAAAATCGCTTCTCGAGCAATGTACGTTTTGGGGGAACTTTAAATCGTTTATCTCAGTTTAGCTAACTTGCTTCTCGAGCAATCAGTAACTCTAGTCCTTGAAAAAAATGGGAGTCAGGAGCCATAATTACGACTCAAATTATGTCTTGTCTTGACTACGTATGTCGTGGGTATTTCCCCATTTTCATCAAATCCATCACAGCATACAACGATGGGTGCATGCTCAACTTTGGACAAAAGTGAGCTGATAATAATGGCGACAAAACGTGCCATGTTCTTCCCTTTTTGAGTAATTAAAGTGGAAGACTCTGACAAAAAAAAAAATTCTTTTTAAAGATCGATTTTTTTACGATACTCCGACTGGGCCACCCTGCCTGTCTAGGGATTTATACTTGGTGGGTTGTCAGGATCGCGTTTCTTATTTTAACGTGTCGGTGCCTGCACACCCAACCCTCCCAATTCCTCTGTATCTTTTTTTTCCACGGGAGGAGGGAATACCCTATGTCTGTTTAGCGTCTAAGGGATACCGAGATCTACATGAGACTTCAGACGAAACAGTTTTACCTCTTACTCAGAAGGTAAGTAACCATAAAAAGGATGCTTTGTTTCTCTAGAGAAATAATTATTGACTAAATAAGTGCTTTGAGAAGTGCAATACTTTGTTAATACAGCCGGATAGGAAAAGCTTCTAAATTCAACTAATGCCTTGATTTATTTTCGTGATATCCGTAATCAAATACTTGTTAATACATAGCACTTGACACGATCGGAAAGAGAATAGCGTGAATTGCGATTTGCAACAAGAGTAGAACTTGCACATATGCATGAACGCTCAACACGTTCAGAGCACGCGGAGATAAACTTTCGATAATTTCCTCGAAATCCAATGTCGAAAGTGGAAACAAAACCAAATATAAACTTCAAATTCTCAAGATAACTATATAAATTTCCTTATTGAGGATATTGCTTACCAAGTGTTCTTGATATACTTGTCCCCATGACCCCTAACGAAAGCCTAGTACTGCTCAAGTAATGCGATAGCAAAGTTGTAGAGTTTACACATCGACAAACATACGAGGGATTCCAAAGTTTTACATGCCGAAAGCCAAGACAATGCATCAGTATTTAGCTTTTTCAGCGAAATTTTGCAAATTTATTTTTTGGTTCATCGCCTTGAATGTGATATCAAATCATAATCCAAGGATACGG